CTTCCAGACAGCAAGTTTGGCACGGAATTTATTTACAACCGGCTCCCATAACTTCTTGTTCCCTGATTTACTATCAACGGGCAATCCCAAATAGAGGAAAGGTGCTCGACCAACCCCGCAGCGTAACATTCCCGCTGATCCTTTAGCCATTTCTCCGACACATTATACCCGAAGACACTGCTCTTGCTAAAATTTATCCTCGAGCCAGACATAAGCTCAAACCATCTTAAGACGTCCTTCACCATACGTATGTTCTCAACATCCGCTCTACCCATAATAATTGTATCATCCGCAAACTGGAGTAACGACACAGACATCCCTTGCTTTCTAATCTCAATCCCATGTAACATTCCTTCCGTTACTGCTCTTTGAATTAAACCTTGTAACCCCTCTGCAATCAACAAAAAGAGAAAAGGAGATAAAGGATCAGCTTGACGCAATCCTTTACCTACCTCAACTTCCATTGTCGGGCTCCCATTTACTAAAACCGAAATTCTCGCGTTTGAAAGACATTCCGTAATCCACCCTCTCCATTTCGTTCCAAAGCCACATCTCTCCATCATCCAATCCAAAAAGGACCAATCTACGCAATCATATGCCTTTTCAAAATCTGCCTTAAACACAAAAGCTGGCTTTTTCCTCTTCTTGACCTCATCCACTACTTCATTCAACACCAAAACACCATCCACCAACTGACGGCCCCCCACAAAAGTAGATTGGGTGTCACTCACAATTTCTGATATCATAGATTTCAATCTATTAGCCAGCACCTTCGCTAATAATTTATAGACACAACCAATCAAGCTAATGGGTCTATAGTCCTTTAATTCTACAGCATTCACTTTCTTAGGAATTAAAGTTATAAAAGAAGAATTCAGTCCCCTCACCAATTTACCATTCCGATGGAATTCAGAGAAAAAATTGATGAAGTCCTCCTTTATGCAGTGCCACGCAAATTTGAGGAAGTTGAAGTTGTACCCATCCGGCCCCGGTGCCTTTGATCCATCACAGCTCCGCAAGCCTTCCTCAATTTCTTCAACCGAAAATGGTCTTTCTAGCCATTCTCTTTTCTCCTTTGAGATCTGCTGAAATTTAAGGCCACCAGGCTTGGTTCTATTCCATGACTCTCCTTGAAACAACTTTCTAAAATATTTGGCAATCTCATTTTTAACTGCGTTTGGCTCTTCACACCACACCCCATCACACATAAGGCCTGCTATATTATTGTGCGCCCTTCTCCCGATAGCAACTCTATGAAAGAAGCGGGTATTCGCATCACCCTCACACACCCATTTATTCCTTGACTTCTACTTCCAGATAAGTTCCCTCTTTCTTATACAGTCCCACATCTCAGAAAAACCTTCTTGCCTTTTAACAATCTCAGCTTCTTCTAAATTTGAAACCTCGTTCTGCATGTCAACCTGCTCTACCTTTCTCACAGCCTGTCCATATAGAGCATCCATGTTCCCAAATACTTCCTTGTTCCAGCCCTTTAAGAACTCCTTTAACAGCTTTAACTTTTGTTGGCATTTATACCCTGCAAACCCCTCTACCTCCATCTCGCTCCATTTTTCTTCAACAATGTTCTTAAATTATGGGTGTTGTTGCCATGCATCCAGAACTCGAAAAGGTCTTGGACCCCAATCTGTTGTTCTGGACTTCAATACGACAGCACAATGATCAGAGATATTCCTTGGCAGTGCTTGTTGTATCCACTCTCCTTCCATGTTGCTCATCTCAGTACTTAATAGGAACCTGTCCAATCTTCTTCTTGCTGTCCCATCTGGCTTATACCAAGTATACCTTCTATTTGTCAATTTAACATCTACCAAATCTGTTGCCACAATGAACTCATCAAAGTCATTCATACCCGGACTCTCCCTTATTTTTCCTCGTCTCTCCTCAGGGCCTCTAACAGCATTAAAGTCCCCTGCTATCAACCAATGTCCTTCCTTGTCTGTTTTCATCCTCCTTAGTTCCTCCCACAACTTGGCCCTCTTTTGTCTATCATTAGGGCCATACACATTTATAAGAAAACACTGTTGTTTACTTGCTCCCCATTCCCCTGATAATCCCACAAAACCGTCACCAATTAGCTCTTCCCTCTTAACAAAGTGTCTCCTATCCCATATACAAAGCCAACCCCCTGAAGCTCCAGATGAGTCCTTCGCAACCCAGTCAAATTCATCAGAATTCCACAACTGGCTACATGTACCTACATCCATCCTTTCTAACTTTGTTTCCTGCAAAAACAAAAAATCGGGCCTCTCTTCTTTAACCAACTTTTTCACCTCCTTCCTTTTCAATGTCCCACCCAAACCCCTTACATTAAACGATATAATCTTCATTAAACACTTCTAATCACACACCGCCTCTAATCACCCCCAACCTTACTTCCCTGACACGTCTCTTCGACCTGCTGTTTCCCGATCCTCTGCCTCTAATAAGTTAGATTGTATCTCCTCCTCATTATTATCAAATTGAAAGCCCAACCTCTTCCCCACCCTCATCATCCGACTCACCTCATATAAATTCATCTCTCTCTGCAACACCCTATTTCTATTCTCGATACACCCATCCGAAATAGACATAGAGCCAGCGATGCATACCTTGTCATCCTCAGTTTGTCTAGCGCCCACTCTCCTTGACTGTCTCTGCTTTGTTCTGGGTGTCACCCGTTGTGCCCCTTTTGCCCAGATCTCCTCTAAGTTTTCTGGGTAGCATTCTTGAAGATATCTCTGCTTTTTACCCTCTGTTTTTTTTTTCCCGATTTCTGCACTGCCGGTGGATCCACTGTTTCTTTATTAATTAAACCCATGCTCATTTCCATTTGCTGTCCTTGGACCCTCCTTTCGGCAGGCCCACTGTTATTTTCTAGCCCAACAAACCTCAGCCTTTGAGGCCCAGTACTCTGAGATAGCCCGTATCCTTCATTCCCCTCCAAAACCATCCCTGTTTCAATTTGTTCACAGCCTTCATCTTTCGCTAACGGCTTCGAATTTGAATTTAAATCCGCATCCTTCATTAAATGCTCTGAATCAGTACTCATATCCTTGCCGCCGCAAATCCCGTCCGTATCCAACTCAGGATCCTCGTTCTGACTCCACGCTACTGAGTAATCAAACTCCGATTCTAGGTCACTTTTCCGGTCATTCTCCGACAGCCACCAATCCGGATCGGAGCGCCACTCCTCCTCGACAATCTCTATCTCATACCCCTGCTCACCCACCCTCAGTTGAGTTCGTTTTGATATCTTGTTAGAATTTGAGCATAAAACCAATACTCTCCCATCCCATAATATTGATTTCTTCTTTGTATCATCATGAATCATTAACACTTCTCCTATTGTCTCACCTATCGTCTGGAAGCACCTCTCACTCCATGCCTTTAGAGGCACTCCCGTTATGCGCAACCACACCATTCTACTTTTCTCCTCTGTTGCCTTCTCCCATGGTTTTAAAGACACAAACCACAAACCAAGCAACTCCTCATTTAGCTTCATATACTCAGCTAAGTACCCTTTGACTCTTTCAGTTAATAACATCCTTCTTCCCCCCATTGGTACTAATGAGATTGAGCCTCCATCGACATCCAAATGCTCCTGAATCTCTGATACCAAAGCCATTGATCTCACCTCTGCCACCATGCCACCCTCAAGCCATAGCAGCTCCTCGACTGTTGGGGTATATTCGATAGACTCCTCTCCTTTTTCCACTTCCTTATTCTTCTCGGCCCTTGTTGGAACATCTTCCTTATCCAAAATTATGTCTTCATCCCTTTCCTGCAGCTTT